TGTGTGTGTGTGTGTGTGTGTGTGTGTCCAAAATCGAGTAGGCTTTAGCCGCCACGTGGGCAAAATTCAAAATTCGTTTCTACCAAACTGAAAATGTTTAACCCTATTCGTACGCCCTGGGGTCATTTTGTACCCCGGGGTTGTATTCTTCATAATATTTTAGAATACTCTTAGTACGAAGATCTCTTTGAAACTTCCAGTATTTCTCAAAAAATCATTTTGACAGACTGCTATGCAAAGCGTACAGATCGGATTAACGAGTAAATTTCCTCTTTGAAAAGTGGTGGCACAGAGTTCCCCACGTCGTATGGATGCGCTGCGCCCTCTTATGACCTGATGCAGTTGGAGCAGCGTAATAGACTTGTTGTTGTTGTTGTTGTTGTTGTTGTTGTTGTTACTATTGATGTTGTTACTGTTGTTGTTGTTGTTGTTACTGTTGATCTTGTTGCTGTTGTTGTTGTTGTTGTTGTTGTTGTTACTATTGATGTTGTTACTGTTGTTGTTGTTGTTGTTGTTACTGTTGATCTTGTTGCTGTTGTTGTTGTTGTCGTCGTCATTGTTGTTGCTGTTGTTGTGGATGTTGTTGTTACTGTTGATGTTGTTGCTGCTGCTGTTGTTGCTGCTGCTGTTGTTGTTGTTGTCGTCATTGTTGTTGTTGTTACTGTAGATGATGTTGTTGTTGATGTTGTTGTCGTTATTGTTATTGTTTGTTACTGATGATACTGTTGTTGTTGTTGTTGTTGTTGTTTATCGTCGTTGTTCTAACAATGTATACAGCACGTGTAGATCATGAAGAGTCAGGAAAACTGGTGTGAGATATCACTCGCTATCTTGTTATCTACCATCCATCAGTTTTGTTTGTGAGGCAGCGTGGTTGAATCAGGCTCTCGTCAATTTTTGGGCATGTACAGTTATTGCTATCATCTTAAAGCTTGTTCACTTGTCTTTATTTGAAAAAAAAATATCCATTTATCTTGAATACAAGTCGAGATATTTGCGAATGAAGAAGGTGGAGGTCACCTGTTTTCAGAGGTAAAATTAGTGAGAAAATGGCCGTCAAAGATTAGTTATTTCCTTACAGTAAGAGCCCAGCGGTAACTGAAAATTTACATTTATTGTACCTTTAATCAACGCTTTTCAGAAAAATCCACACAGAAATGAGTTTTTTAATGGGCGTGAAAGGTGTTGAGCCAAAAAACAAAAATTTGATAGAAATTCACAAACCTGCGGGAAAATGCAAGTTTCTTCACTTTCGATATTTTGACGAGAGCCTGATTCCCCCACGCTGCCTCACATTTGTTTTGTTTTTTTTCTAGCTTGTTTCTTTTCTTTTGTTTTTGTTTGGGTTTTTTTACTTGAAGATGAATAGTTGACCTTTGCGTTTGTGTAACCTTTGACCGCAGGTTCGGAGACAAACGTCCGCAGTTCAAAAAGCTGGACAGTCAGAAAAAGACGACACACATCACTTTCTTCAAGGTAAGTTAGGGAGGGGGGAGAGAGAGAGGGAGAGAGAGAGAGAGAGAGAGAGAGAGAGAGAGGG